AAAATTAAGAAAGGTTAAAGGTAAATGAGTTAAATATGCAACTTAAGTTGCTAGGAAAAGAAACTCAAATAAATAGAAGGAAGGAAATAATAAAATAAAGAACAGAAATTAATTAAATGGAAAAGAAGAAAGAATATGGTCAAAAGACCAAAAGCACTTTAAAAGACATAAAATTGTCAAATCTTTAGTGAAACTGATGATAAAAATAATAGATTAAATGATATTAGTAACAGAAAAGGGGACAAATTATTAATTACCAATGAGGACTAGATTAAAAATCAAAAGAATACTGTGAATAATTATGTGCTAATAAATTTAAGTGAGGTGGACAATTTTCTTGGAAAATATAAATCACTAAAATTGACTCAAGACAAAGCAGAAATATAAGTACAAAGCTAAGGAAACTAAGTCAAAAATATTCCATGCAAAAAGACATCAGATTTAGACAATTTTATAGTGAGTTATATTCAACTTTCAAAAATCAGAGAATCTCTATTTTTTATGAACTGTTGTAGAGAATATAAGCAGCAAGGTAATAATCCAAATAATTTTATAAGGCTAGTGTAACCTTGATACTGAAACGAAACAAGTATAATAAAGTAAAACCTTAGGTGCAAAAACAAAAGTAAAATATAACCCAGTAGAATCCTCCTGTATGTGTATATAAATCAGACCCTCATAATCATGATTAAGTAGGGATTAGGAACGCAACATGTTTCAACATCAGAAAATTTGCCTTAATTCTCCACATTAACAGATTATATAAAATAAAGTATAATCTTCCCAATAGATAATAAAGTCATTATATAAAAATTAAACTTATTCATGATAAAATTTTTAGAAAACTAGAATTAAAGGGAATTTCCTTAACCCCCAACAAAGAGGCTCTACAAAAAAGCTTATTGTAAACATTTTTACTTGATACTGAAAGAAAAGTATCCCCTTTCAAGTCTAGAACAAGACTTATTCCGTATCACCCCAGAACGCATTATGATAGAAATGAGATATAATTGTCAATAAAAATTAAAAATTGTCATTAATAAACAGTTTAACATTTTAAAAAATCCAGGAAAATCTGAGAGAAACTATTAGAACTAACAAGGAGAGGTCAGCAAATTCACTGAATTAAAAAATTCAACATATAAAAGGCAAGAGCAGATAATTCTTCTCAAAAACTCATAACCCAAGACAAATCATGAGAAAATATTAGACAAACTCAAATTGAGAGATTTCCTAAAAAACCTGACTAGTACTCCTCAAAACTGCTAAAGTTATGAAAAACAAGGAAATACCAAGGAGCTGTCACAGCCTGGAGTTGTCTAAGGAGACATAACAACTAAATGTAATGTGGCGTTCTAGATGGGATCCTGGGACAGAAGGAAGACATTTATGGAAAGTTTGTAGTTTAATTACTAGCTTTGTACTAATGGTAATTTCTTCATTTTGACAACGTACCAAAGTTAGGTAAGATGTTAACATCAGGGGAAACTGGGTAAGGAATGTTTACACTATCTTTGCACCTTTTCTGTAAATAAGTTATTTTTAAAAAGCTATACTACTGTTGTAACCCCAAAATAACCAGTTAGGTAAGTAATAGGAAGAAAGACCTCCTAAAGCCAAATAAGATCTTAAAGGGAAAAAAATTACAATGTACTGTTGATGGCTGTAGATGACATGAATAAATGGGTAGCACAGATGATAGGCAAAGATGGGAGGTGTTGATAAAACGTTTTTAGTTCTCTTTAAATTTCTCTATGGATTTAGTAAAATGTCAGTCGAGGGCTAAGAATAACCAAAGACACTTTTGAAAAACAAGCTAGGGCAAGTGTCCTTCCAGATATCAAGATACTGTAAAGCTCCAATAATTAATATGATGTGTAAAATGCATACAGATAAACAGATGGGCCAGTGGGACAGACTAGAGAGTTTAGGAGCAGGTCCACTTGTACAGAAACATGACATATGTCAGGAGAAAAATTAGATCCATACCACAGAACATATATAAAACTAAACCTAAAAAACTAAAACTTAAGGCTATTATAATATCTTTATGACTTCAATGTGGAGAGGGATTTCTTAAGGTAAAAAATGCAGAAATCTGAAGGAAATTATTAAATTTTACAGCACAAATATTTAACATTCTTCCATGACAAAAGATATTGACGCCTTTTAACCTTATATGGATTTTAGACTTATACTGAAGTGTGATTGGGGTAGGGAATAGGAGGTAATTCAAGCTGCAGCACGATGTCTTATTCTCAGTTAAAGAAGATCACCCTGGATGCTGTCTAGAGAATATTGGAGGGAAGGGTTTGGAATGGAAGCAGGTAGTCAAATGAGTGGGCTAATATCTAGGGGAAATCATGGTAATTAGGACTATCATGCAGAGGAAAAACATAGGAAAAATTTGGGATGTATCTTGGATGTAGAGTCAGCAGGACTTGCTGACGAATTGGATGTTGATGGTAAGGAAAAGGGGAATCGAGAACAATTGTGAGATTTTTGGCTACTGCAACTGGTGCTGTTTATAGAAATGGGGAAAAGGGAAATTACTATTTGTTGTCAATGTTTTGAGTTGCCCATTAGGCATCCTGGTAGAACAGTCAGCTGTTAAGAAGATAGTGGGATATATGAGGCTGGGCTTCTGTGGAGAGTTCCGGGGCAGAGGGAGCTGTTGGCATGCAGGTGCTATTTAAACCATATGGCTAGGTGAGACTGCTACCTAGGGAGTAGACGTTGATGGAGAAGGCTAGTGACTGAGTTCTGAGCCTTGGGAGGTTGAACAAAGCAGAAGCCAGCTAAGAGGACATGGGGGTAAAACCAGGGCAGTATAGTGTCTCTGAAAATAAGATAGTTTTTGTTATCATTGTTTGTTTTAATGAGGATGTTGAATGTTACTGAAAGATCAAGTGAGATTAAGAACAAGTTTCCTAGCCACATGGAGAACTGCTGAAATTGCCAGGCAGTTTCAGGGGTGTGGAAAGGATGGAAGCCCGTGTGGCATGCCAGGGGGAGAGAATGTGTGGTAAGGCTGTTGAGTCGGTGACAGAAGGCCACTCTATCAAGAGGGCTTTTTTGGTGGGGGCAGGGAGAGAGTGCTGAGAAAAGGGGTAGTAGCTGGAGGAGAGCATGTGATATTTGATGGGAATGAACGACCTGGGATCCGGAGAAAAAGCTGTGTTGCAGATAGAGGTCTTTGAGAAGGAGAGAGGGGATGGGGTCCCTAGATTGCATTAAAATCACCTCCTAAACCATAACCAAACTTGAGGAGCTCCAAAACAAACACCTCTCTGGGACCCTGGGCACCTGCAATATTTGACAGCTCCCCCAGGGGATCCTAATGTGCGGCCAGATTTGAAAACCTCTGACCTAAGGGTAGTACCACATTCACTTCTAGTGGTGCCTCTAGAATTTCTATAGAAGCTCCCGGGGAATAATTTTCAAAGGTACAGAGCAAACACAATGTTTTCATTCAGATTTTATGCTTATGTGGCACTGCTGGGTGAGAAGAGACTGCTGAAGACTTGGGGAGTTTCAAACATCCCCCACCCCAAAAGCCAGTAGTTCTTAATGTACCCAGCAACCACTGATTTATAAATATTTATACTTATTAAGTATAAAATTTAAATCTGGGTATTATGTTCTTTGTGCTTAGGTAACCTGCTTTTTGTAATTAACTGTATTTTATGAATCTTTTCCTTTAAAATTAAAAAATTACATTTTAATTGGCCACATAAAATTGCAGTGTATGGCTTTGCCAGAATACAATTTATTTCTTCCGCAGAGTACATTTTTCTAATAAAAAATGCTACGTGAATATGCCTGCATATAATCTTTCGTACCTCTTAGTTTAGGTCGTTTCCCTTAGCTCCTGGAGAGTGGAATAGTTGGATCAAAGGGTGCATCAGTGAGCTTTTCGTAATTCATTGATTCTACTACTGGGAAAGAAATGCATATTTCTGGCCAGGATATTCAAACAGTATGGACTGGAGACGGGAAAGATCCCTCCTCCATATCCCTTCCCCTCATCCTTTTTCCCTAGAGGTAACCGGCTAACAGTTTCTTGTACAGTTTCCCAGAGGTTTTACCTGTGTGTGTGTTCATCCTTAACAAACAAATGAAAACACTTACCGGGTCATGTCTACAAACTTCGGCCACTTGAGTGTTTGACTAACTCTATTGAGTCCTCGGCCGTCGTTCGTCCCGAGCGGCGCTACCTCGTCGTTTCCCGCCGCATACGGGTTTCCTCACGCGTCTGTGTGCCCTGCACGGCCGACGGTCCGGGTGGCCACGGGTGGGACTGACCCAGCCTGTCCCAGGCGGCGACGCGCGAGGCCGCCTCAGGAGAGCATCCACTAAACCGCGCTGGTCCGGGCTCTCGGTTTTACGTTTCTTTGGGAGTCAGGTCGTGAGTTTTGTCCTGTAGGTCTGTCAGCCATTTGTATTTTCCTGTGAATTGCCAGTTTCTTCCCTTTTTGCCCAATTTTCTGGCTTAGTTTGGTCTTTACCGTATCGGTTTCCAAGAGGTCTTCGTTTATTAGGGAAGTTAGCCCCGTGTCTTTCATGTGTCCCAGGCGGAAAAGTCTCGTCTCCCACTTTCTCGTTTGTCTTTAACTTCAACATACATATTTTTGTCCGCCGGATTTTCATTTTCTTAGACAAATGTATGGTTTTTTTTTTTTCTTTTTCTTCAGAGGTTTTGCGTTTGGGAGTTGCTAGCGGGCCTTTCTCTGCGTCACCCCCCTTCTTTGTTTGGGGGTCGCACACTCACTCCCCCTCCCCCTTTTCCAGACCCTTCCTCAGGGCCCCTAGCATTGGCTTCGTTGACGTCAGCCTACTGCCTTCGCGCCAAGCCGTCGCCACGGCAACTGCGGCCTGATTGGCAGGGCTTGGGGGCGTGGCGAGGGGGGCCCAGGGCGCGTAGCGCTGCCTCTGATTTGCCCGCGCCGGGGCCCCGCCTCTGCGGAGAGCCTGACAAGGAGTCGCGGGCCGGGGCTCGGTGCAGACGCCGGGAGCCGCGGGAGGACGAGGTCGGAGCGGAAGAGTGGACATGTCCACCATGGGCTGGTGGCGCTGCCGGGTGCCCGGGGCCGTGTGGGGGCAGTAGACTGTGCACGGGCTGCGCCGCGGCTGACCTTCGGCCAGGGGCGGGGCGGTGCCTTGAGGTGCGGTGTGGCGAGGTGAGTCCGGCTGCCTCGGCCCGCACATCCGCGTCTGGACAGTGCGCGGGGATGGGATGCCGCAGGTTCGGGACCCTGGTCAGCGGGCCGGGGCTGCCGCGCTTGCCGCAGCGGCGCCATCTTGCGCTGCCGGCCGGAGTCTATGGTGGGGGCTCCCGTGCCACCTTTCCTGGGCATAGTGGAGGACAGGGATGGCTGGCCGTCCTGGGTAGGGGGCGGGAAGGCCGCGGGCTCCTGTCACCGCAGTCCGCTGGGGTGGGTGCCGGAGAAGTGGCGGGCCATCCCTAACGAGCGCGGGAAGGCTCAGCGCGCCCCCGCCCTGCGCCCCGCCCTCCCGTTTCCTCAGCTTGGTCGGGGGGCTGCAGAGGACACCCCATCCCACGGGGTCCCAGATTGGCCAGGTCCGCTCCGGCCGCCCCTGCATCCTTGCCGGTCTTTGGGGGTGGGGCTTGCTTGCCGCAGTGGCGGCGGGAGGAGCTAAGGGGCGGGGCCGAGGGCGGTCGTGCTGCGGAATGTTTTTCTCTGGGCGGTGACAGACTGCGGGCCCGCCCACCCTGGCGTCACTTTTGATGTGTCAGATAAGAGTGGCTGCGCAGGCGCTGTCCTGATTGGTTGGTGCGGGCTGGGGTGGGGCCAAGGGCTGTCTTGACTGCAGGTCTCAAAAGAGATCGACTGGTCAAGCCCCGCCTACCTCAGCGCCATCTTTGATGGGGGCGGCTGAGGCTCGCTGCGCATGCGCGGCCTGGTCTTGGCTGGGTGGCCGCAGGGGCGGGGCTGAGGGTAGCGGTGCCCTGTGTTCTTTGCTGTGATTGAAGGCTGCGGGGGTCCTGCTACCTCACACCTTCTTTGCTGGTCACGGGCCTGGCCGCCAACCTTTGCCGCAGACGCTTGCCGCGACATGCCACCCTGACTAGCGTAGGTTTTGAGGTCTGACTTGAGATTGGGCGACGGCTGGTGACTGGGGGGGCTGTTTTATCGGCAGGGTCCATGTGGCCCAGAGTTTGCCGACACTGTTGTTGCTGGAGAGCTGTCTGTCCTGAGGGACAAGGCTACGGGCTATCATTGTGCCCGCTGTTTCTCCTTGGTTGGTCTGGGGGTTGCAGAGCATCACCCCTTCCCCTGTCGTTGCCTTCCTGGACTGCTCTCACCTTGGGATGTTTCTGGCTAGATCTTTTGGCTGGGGGGGGAGGGCTGGGGCGGGGGGTACCGCCCAGCCGTGTTTCGCAGGTGCCCTGTCGACTGGGCTGAGGGGGTGGGGCCATGGGCCGTCTTTGGGGACTGACAGTGCTGCAGAGCCCCGCCCACTCTGATCCAGTGCTTGTTGGCCGACAGGTGGCGCCGAGGCTTATTGCGCAGGCACTGTTATGAATGAGGACGGAGCTGCAGGGGGCGGGCCAGAGGAGGGGCTGCAGAGCCCTGCCCACTCTAGCGCTGTTTGTTGGCCGTCAGGTGGCGCCAAGGCTTACTGCGCAGGCGCCATCTTAAACTACTGTGGGGCTGCAGGGGACGGGCCGAGGGAGGGCTGCAGAGCCTTGTCCACTCTAGTGCTGTTTGTTGACTGACAGGTGGCGAGCAAGGCTTACTGTGCAGGCGCTGTCTTGAATGACAGTGGTGCTGTCTGCTGGGGTGGGCCCAAGGGAGGGGCTTTTATGCTTTGTATGACTAACAGGGGACTGCAGACCATTTCCCATCTAGCGCTGTGTACTTTGGCCTAGGGGTGGTAGCTGAAGCTTATTGTGCAGGCGCCATCTTGAATGACGGTGGTACTGCAGGGGCAGCCCGAGGGAGGGGCTGCAGACCCTTGCCCACCTAGTGCTCTGCCGGCCAACAGGTGGCAGCCGAGGCCTACTGCGCAGGCGCCATCTTGACTGACACTGGGCCGGCTACAGGGGGCGGGTCCGAGGACGGGGCTGTGGAGCCCTGCGGCCCTTGCTTTCTGCGCATGCGCCATATTGAGAGCCAGTAGGACTGCGGGGCGGGCTGTGTATGGCGTCCTGGGAGATGGAACTCACCCTGCCGTCTTCGCTGCGCAGGCTCCAGGTGGACCGCTGCTTGCCGCTGCGGCACATCTTGGCGGCCGCGCGACGGCGTCGTGTTCCCTGGAGGGCGTGCAGAGCCTTGTCCCTGGGACTGTGGGACGGGTTTCAACTGCGCATGGCTGGGGGTCACATAGGAAAGTGGGAATTTTAATAGATTTGGGGAAGGGGGGATCTAAGTGAGAAGGTGGGGGAGAGGGTGGCAGGCTCTGAGGGCGGTGGGAGGTAACGTGAAGGAAAAGGCCTCAATCCCGTAGACAGCCTGGAGAATGCGGAGCGCGGACGGTGATGAGGGAGGCGTGGCATGAGAAACGATGGGACGGAGGAGGGGCTGGCAGGTGGGGCGGGGCTGGGAGGGGCGGGGCGAGAGGGAGCAGCTCTGGATTCCTTGTTTGTGGGCGGACCTAGTTATATATCTGCCCATGACTGATAGCGTTAACATAAACCAGAGCCATAGTCCTGAAGGTGCATCCCCCTCGGGGCCTCTGATTGATTGAACGCATGCTCTGAGGCACAGTGGGGCTTGAAACATGTAGTGTCGTCCACGGGGATCATGTTGACAACCTCAACTATTGTGTAAGGTTAAGTAATGATACCATTATCTACTGGTAATGTTGATGATAATAGCATTAAGATTGTAATATAAGCTAGTCTTTCATGCTACTTAGGTGTACAGCACAGTAAAATTTCTGGCATTGCATCACTGGCTATCGCATGGCAGAACTGGAGTTTTACTCACCTTTCTAAGGGGTGCCTGTATCATTTATTCCACAAGGTTTCCATGAAAAATGTCTGTAGATTACTGTTTTCCAAAAAGACGTTAGTTGATCTGTAATTGCCATGAGTTCTGAGGTTGAGTTCTCTGAGCCTCTGCTTTTTTGTGTGTGAAATAAGTAGAAAATAATGTTGTGGTGGGAATTAACAGAGATGCTAAAAGTAAGGTGCTAATAAGCACTGTATGAGGCACGTAATTAGCAGTAAATAATACTACCTTCTTAGCCATTTTTTCCCTCCAATTTGTACCTGCAGTGTGTGTCCCTTGCCTTTAGAGGGATGGCCAGTGCAGCATAGCTAATAAGTGGGAGATTGGGGTCTTAAATAGGATTTCTCAATCCCAAGTCTTTACTGTTTTGCTCTGCTTATTAGAGAAGTTTCTAAGACACTCAGAGATTGGCTTGCACACGATTGACATACCCTCACTAGAAAAAAGCTATGATTATAGCCAGGGTACAACATACACCCCAGAGAGCAATGCCGATGGCCCTTCCACCCTGGGAGGAAAAGCTGTTCTTCTTGGTATCATTTTACCTCTACCACTGTAGGAGGCAAAGATGCAGCTGTGTGGGGTCATTTCCAGCCTGGAAATTCAGTAATTGGGAAGTAAGTTCGGTGGCTCACATTTTCTTTTCCTTCCCCAGCTCTACCCTTCTCCGAGACGACTTGTGAGAGGAAGAGGGACTAGGTCCAAACGCTAGGTGGCGGTGTCCAGGTGAGCTGAATTCCCTCCTCGCAGTGCCACACCCATCCTTGGAGTGAGCACATCCTTCCTCAACCTGACACTTTCCTACTGTACACGTGTTCTGTATGGCCACACGAGCACCCTGTGTGCTCTCTGAGAATGCACATGCTCTTCTGGTGGGTCACGTGTTCACCAAATTCTCCTTGGTCTTCGTAACATTCAGCTACTCCTTCAGGCCTGCCCTTTCTTTCTTATTGGATGAATAAAGAAACATGAGAAATTCATTGATTCATCTATCAAACATGGCCCCAAGTGGAAAAGGAAGTGTTTTCCTGGAGCTCATAGTCTTTTGGGTAATGAAAGACATTGAAAAAATAATTCTGTGATTCATGCCTTTGAAAGAGAAGGTTCACTTCAGGCAGTTAACTTAATCTGGGAGAGGCCATGTAGGGTCTCCCTGAGAAAGTGAGGGACATTAAGGCTGAGCCCTGAAGCGTGGTGGATGGCAGTGTGTCGTGAGAAGAGCAGTCTTAAGGGAGCTGGGAGTCCAGGATCTAGTCTAGACTAGAAGCCTAGAACAAAGGAAAGAAAAGAATGGTGTTTGAGATGAGAAAAAGGTAAAGTGGAGCTGCACTGTGAAAGGCTTTGCAATCCGTGGTAGGTAATTGGGCTTGACCTGAGGCACCATGGGAAGCCATGGCAGCACCATGATAATCAGATTTGTGTTTTAAAAGTATCATCTGGTTGCAGGGTTCAGAAGGGGAGGGTAGAAACAGTGGGTCCAGGAAGACCACTTCGGATCTGGGTGAGAGATGGTGGCTTGGGTTAGGGTCACAGAAGAGGGATAAGTGAATTGGATGGATCTGAGAGAGGTACTGAAGAAGGGGACTCAGTAGGTCTTGTACTCTTTGTTCATGGTTTGCTGACTGATTCAGACCATACTCAGTGAATCATATCATGGGGGTAAGTGAGCAAAATAGCCAAATATTGCTCATTCTGTCAGCAAGCATTGATACTGTGCCTGATCTGGGACGTGATCATGCTGGACTTTGGGTCTCCGGAAGTGAGTGACATAATCCCTGGTCTCAGTGTCTATTGAATGAGAACTCCAGTTAAGTGGAGAGTAAGAAAACATGCTTACCAAGATTGGTGGCCATGCTGATGGCATATTACCACCCAGGGAAAGATTAACATGCTGTCCCAGTGAGCCACCGGGGGTGGGTTGGTTTTTTCTGGCCTTGGTGAATGCTTCAGACAGCAGTCCAGTGTCTGGCACTCAAGCCTTTGGAGACTCAGAGGCCCTACTTCACCTGGGGACTCATCTTACATCAGTAGATCCATGTTAACGAAGCTAAGCCATAATGAATTATTGGTTTATGTCGGAAAATAGTGTGACCAAATACGACGTTCCTGTTTTCTCAATCTTGGTAATCGATTCATGGTGGGAGAGCACTACCGCAGGAACCCAGATATTCAAAAGTACGCATGATCAGCACATTCTCTCCCTGTCGGCAGACCTACATGGGAAAGGAAGCCATAGTGAGAGCTCGCTTGGTGAGTATGGAATCAGAGTGAGAGGATGTGGAAAAATTTTGGTAGCGCTGGCCTGTAAGGTCACCTGGGGATACCATCTGGTTGCAGTGAAGCTCTTGCTAGGGTCACCAGGACACCAGAAGCCCCTTGTCTGCAGCCCCCACTCTCCCCAGTCTCCATTCACATTAGGTCTGACCAGAGTAGCGTGCTCTCTCCTATAGATGGTTAAATGAACCATGCTTTGTGGTCTGCCTTTTCATGCCCTCACCCCTTTAAAAAAAAAAAATCTGATCAGCCAGTTACTGATGTAAAAATTGGTCAGATATGTCCTACTGGCACAGAAGAGGTTTTATCTCTTTAAAGTAACTCTTTTTCTTGAATCATTTGGGGGCTGACCATAAAACTAAACTCTTAGTTACTGTTTCCTCTTTTTTGAAATTTTTGGGGAAACTCCTCCAGAATGGACAACGATAAGGAACTTTTGCTGCAGAGTGGTAAGTGCTCAGTTTATATGATGGAGGTAAGCCCAGGGCGACGTGGCGATTATCTGCGAGGAGCCACCTGAGAGTCCAGAGGGTGGAGTCGTGGCTGGTATGGTAGGGGTAGTGGTTGTTTACTCCATGCTCACATTCCCCTGTGAAATTGTTACCCAAACAGCCTCTGTTGTCCACATGTACCTGTTCATGGTTGTGGACCACACTGGACGCATCAGCCTAGAGCAGTGGTTCTCAAAGTACAGCTCCTGGCGTGCTTCCTGCATGGCTGTTTCCTGGGGAGCCACAAACCTCCTAAATACCCACCCTGGAAAGGCTGGTGCATTTCTCCCAGTCACCCCAGGCTTGAGAACCACACCCTAGAAGGCATCGAGCTGTAGTGTGCACTCATAATGTCGGAGTGGGTGTGAGCAGAGGCACGGGCTAGCCCAGCTGCTAGAGCTGGGAGGTGAGGCGGGCCCAGGCTGGGACAGCACTTTCCTCCACGTGGTGCTGAAGGAGAGAATGTCGGTTTGCAGAAAGAGGCAGGAGAAAGGAGCAAACAAGAGCAGAGAAGAGACCGCACACCCTGCTGTCCCTGAGAAGCGAAGAAAGTAACTTCCTCGGTTCGTGACTTTAAAGTTCTCAATTCCAGCCCCCTTTAATGAGGTAGGTAGAATGAGAGAGGGGCTGAATCTAGGTGCACCATGATGAGGCACCAAATTAAGTAAGTAGAAACGGGCTTGGAGAAGAGACCATGAGCTTCTCTCACTCGTGGTGGGATGTGGGGAACCTGAGGTCACACAGGGGGCCACAGAATTTCTTTACCTCTCCTCACACATCCGGCCACATTTCCAGCCACCACTAGTTGAGTTCCTTCCAGTTCAGTTGAACACTTGACCCACTGATCCTTTGATTGAGGCCAAAGACCCCCCCACTTGTGGCAGGGGTGCCTGATGACTTCCATCTTTGTTTCAGATGAGTTAATTGTGAGACTGTGCTTTTGTTTGCTATGCATTTTTATGAAATAGAAGTAAAGGGCTGTAAAATACTCAGAGAATGGCATAAACACCTCCACGTGGACCACAGTGGCAACACTTGTCCATCAGGCAGGACCACTGCCCTGTGGTTGGGGTCCAGCTCTTGCCCGAAACTAACTCTGCATACGGTGCTTACGACACACACCTTTCATGCTTAGACATCCCGTGTATTTAAGAACAGGTCTTTGGAGGGTGAAGAACAGCTGGAACCCCGTAAGCCCCTCTGCCCGGTGTGGAGGGTAAGACCTTTTTCTGACCAGCTGTCCTTGTTTGTCTCTTCTCCTTCGAGTTAGTGGCCTCCCTTGGCCTGTACGACCAGAGTCAGGCTGGGTCCCTGTGTGTCCCCATCTTCGCCCCCGTCCTCTGAATGTGGTCAGACCTTTGGCTTTTAAAATCCTGCCCTTGGGTACTACTTGACTCACGCTGGGACTCCTGCTGCAGAGAGAGTGCGGAGGGAGCTGTGGGAGCTTCAGTAACTAGGGTGTGTGAGAGCCCACCTCCAGGCCCGGAAACAAAGCTGATGGGTTTGCCGCGTGGCCAGAATTGAGACCGAGAGGACAGCTGGCAGTGAGGTCAGGGTCTAGGTGTGGCGCCCCAGCAGTGGTGTTCTGGCCCAAAGGGTGTGTGGGGAGTGGAGGACTCCACAGGAGCACTGTGGGTGGTCGGAGAGAGGGGGAGCCACGCAGGGGAGGGGGTGCTGATGCTCAGTGACCGGCGCAGAGGAGAGGACAGACAGACAGCAGCTGAACTTCCAAATTTATATTCAGCTACTTTTTTCTGATGGTGAACTTAAAATAACATTCTAAGTTGAAATGCAAAATGAAGTATCTTTTATTCATCATTTATTTTTTCGATTTTCCCCGCTTTACGCATGGTCTTCATACAAGTTTTTATGGAAGTTTTCTTCCAGTTTGCTTTTGTATGTACTTCCATACGTTTAAGTACCTATGTAGTTTTTTGTTTTTTGGGGTTTTTTTACGTAAATGAGATCATGCCCAATTCACTAACACTTCAAACTCAGGCTACCAGAGTGAAGTATGCGGGGTGTTAGGCAGTAATATTTGGTTGTGGGGGAGTGCGTGGTGTGGCGTCTGGCGAGCTCGTATCACGTGCCCGTCACGTTTACAGCCTCCGTCGTATGCATGTGTCTGTGTGTGCGAACGCGATACTGTGCAGCTATTTAACAACATCTACAATAACTTCTGTATAAATACATCTCCATCATTTTATTCCATTGTGTGGACATCCTCATTGTTTTCTGTGTACATATAAATGAGTATATGTGCGGTAAGAATGCCACATATGCTGTATAATTTTATGCCCTTGTATTTTCATTTAATGCTTTAGACATTTTTTACATTGGTCATTTCCATCAAGTGTAGATAAACTGGTATATCCATAGAATGGAAGACTATGTGGCCTTTAGAAAAAATGATATAAATCTATATGTACTGGTTGGAAAGATGTCTACCAAAAATTACTGGGTTTAGGGCTTCCCTGGTGGCGCAGTGGTTGAGAGTCCGCCTGCCGATGCAGGGCACATGGGTTCGTGCCCCGATCCGGGAAGATCCCACATGCCGCGGAGCGGCTGGGCTCGTGAGCCATGGCCGCCGAGCCTGCGCGTCTGGAGCCTGTGCTCCGCAACGGGAGAGGCCACAACACTGAGAGGCCCACATACCGCAAAAAAAAAAAAAAAAAAAAAAAAAAATTACTGGGTTTAAAAATACACACAGAACTCCTGGTATGATCTCATTTTGGTAAAAACAAGATGTTATATGTACAGACTTTAAAAGTTTTAGTATAGGAACAAATGTGATCACTGGATGTGGCTTGCAGTTTCTACGTTGGGTAATCTGTAATGTTTGAATGTTGTACTGTCTTCTATGTTTGTAATCAGAAAATAAAGCTACAAAGTTTCTTGGCAACATGACTTAATGTTACATGACATTTTCTTAAAGATTCTGTTTTCATTTCTTCTTGCTTG